AGAATTAAATCTAGAATACTTGAAAGTATTAATAATTTTCTTTGTAGTTTTATTTCTTTTATCTTTTTTCTTCATTCATTCATTCATTTATTTATTTATCTTTTCTTTTCTGTTCTTGTTTTTATTTTTTTTTCTTTTTTTTTTCTTTTTTTTTTTCTTTTTTTTTTTTTTAATTAATCTAAATTAAGATTTTCTCCGAGAGTATCGCGAAATGAAATTAATGTTCTTAATCACTATACGCGAACGTTGCAGTTGGTTAGTTAGTCGTAATAGCAGTAACGGAGTAGCTACTTGGAAACAATGCGTGCGATCAGAGAGCCAAGTTCGTAGCCTATTAACGATCGTACGTGACCAGAGAGATCGAAGGATCGATAGTTGCTAGGTCGAAAGGCCGGATTTACGATGATCGACGACGATCCACGACGACCTTAGCGTAATCGTCGGGAGTGCCTTACCGTTTGTACGTGCGTTACTTCGATCATCGTAGTTCCCCTTTTAGCTTGCCAAAGATCTCTCTAGGCTCTTACCGTTCTGCGGAAGCTTCGTTATTGATGAGAGACAAACAAGAGATTTTCTCGCTACCAAATTGCATTTATTTTTCTTTTCTTTTCTTTTATCTACTTTCCTTCCTTTTTTCTTTATTATTTTTTTTTATCACATTGTTACATATTCGTTATTTTATCATGTTAAAGCTTAGTTTTTTCTTTTCCCACTGATTAATGAAAAATTTCAATTAATAAAAATAATATGTTTAAGTAAAGAAGAGATATCTTTTCATCTTGACGAATAATTTTTCGAATTGAAGATAATAGAATGGTGTGGTTTTGTTAACACAATACATTTAAACTATAGTGCTAGAAACGTGGGAATCTTATGATGTGTACCGTTGCATCTCATCGTTCTCGTTGGTCTCGCCGAATAAACCGTGACTCCATTTGCCCTGACGATTACCACTTTTGTCCATTTCGATGGAAAGTGTTTTCCCTTGGTGACAAGAGTACAGAAAATAAGAGAAAGACGAGAAAAAGATAGACGTTTAGAATCGCACGAATCGTCCCGTTCAATAATCATGACTATGCTCGGAAAATTAAACTTTTTCATTATGTATATATTTTTTAAATACTTTTTTCCTCTTAATCCTCTGTAACATTTCATTGAATAAAAGAACCTGACGGATTCGCATTAAGGATAAAGAGAAATTAACTGATGATAAAAAATTATAAAAAAACTGTCACTTTATATAATCCATCGCTGTTACATAAAAATTATTATATCGTTTGGTTAAATAAAATTTATTTAATATCAGAAATTATTCGAATATTTCTATGACTCATTGTATAATATAATATAAAGTAATCAACGACATCGATCAATCTATCGAAGCGGATGGAATTTCTACGAAACCTGAGCCAAGCTCATTTATCTACACCTTTGAACGTTTCTACGTCGATGATTTGCAAACTGGTCGGCATAGTTATCAAGTTTTAAGAAGGAATAAGGACAAAGTGGTACTATTAAATGTATTATTCGATAAGAAAGAATAACTAGTTTTACGATCACCATTATATTCAATATCGGATGCATTCCTCTTTTGCTAAGTAAACAGATATTCTTATACTTAAATAGAAAGAAATTGGTGGCTTGTAGATTAAATGAATTAAAGGGATTCAATTATGGCGTTAACCACGTAATAGGTAGTTCAACTTTTTCGTATTAAATAATAATAATAATAATAATAATAATAATAATAATAATAATAATAATAATAATAATAATAATAATAATAATAATAATAATAATAATAATAATAATAATAATAATAATAATAATAATAATAATAATAATAATAATAATAATAATAATAATAATAATAATAATAATAATAATAATAATAATAATAATAATAATAATAATAATAATAATAATAATAATAATAATAATAATAATAATAATAATAATAATAATAATAATAATAATAATAATAATAATAATAATAATAATAATAATAATAATAATAATAATAATAGTTATAAAAGTCATGAAACATTCCAAACGTAACAACAGAATTTATTATGATCGAGTAAATCACTCCATTTATTTTCCTTTTATATATATATATATATATATATATATATATATATATATATATATATATATATATATATATATATATATCTTTCCTTTCGTGACTCTTCTTTATCGCGTTTCGTCTTTGGACGTGAGAAAAGAAGAGTTGAATTTTTACCACGAAAAGATGTAGTTTTTTTAACCAGTAATTTCTTCTTCTTATTCTTCTTCTCTTTTCTTCGATCCATCTTGGGCCGGAAACGATCGGAAGGAATGGTACTGCTTCACGAAAAGCTTCTTAACGAGAGAACATAGTGAAAATCGCAAGTAATCAGTAATAGTAACTACTATTACAACTACGTGCTAATCGGTGATAATATCTTTGTAAAATCTTAGAAATCTCAAGTTATCTTCTCTAAGCTATTACGAGATGTAATAACGGATACGTGAAGAATAAAAACGAGAAAAAGAGAGAGAAGGAGATAAAGTTTTTTTTTCTTTTTTTTTTTAAAGAGGTACGACATTGTAAGAGAGAAAGAGAGAGAGAGAGAATGAGTAAATTATAAATTAAAATCATTTCTAGACTAGTTCCTAATACGCGCCTTACCAGGAGCGTGAGAAACCGATCGTCTACTCATTTTTGCCGCAAATCTATAGATCTCGAACAGTAGTTACGATCAGCGCTTTAAGAGTGAACTGTTTCGGTTCGTTAGAGAATTAATCAGGCACTCGAATTAATATACCAAGCTCGAGAACTCGATCTCGACTTCCTTTCGCATTTTTTTTCTGTCTTCGCATTTCCTCTCGTTCCATAGATCGTAACATGATCGAGAAAATAAACAATTTATTTTTATTGACTTTTTTTTTGTTTCGTATTTCTTTCGGAACATATTTTAATTTCTCATGGATTTTTCGATCATCCGTATTTCAGGAGACGATTTAACAAAAGTTAGGTGCGTACCTGTATGTTTGTACCGTTAGAGTGTTTAGGACCGTCCGATTAGGCATTAGAGACGCATCGAAGACACGCGTCGCGTGTTCCAACACATCTTGCCAATCAGAACAAGTGCTTTTTTGTTATCAACGAGACTTTTTTTAACGAACTACCGATTGCACTATGGTGTTCTTTGTTTCTTTGTTTACGATCTTTTAAAATTTAGCAAAATAAATTATTAAGAAAATTTATACATTCTCTAATTGGTATTAGAAATTAATTATATGATTAAAAGTTTATTAATTAAATTAAATTATTATTATTAATTATGTTTGTTTTTTTTCTTTTTTTTTTTATAAATATTAAAAACTATTCTTCTTGAACAAACAAAATAAATGGATAAATAGTTGATGTATATTTAAAAACTAAGACCCTTTTTAGTTATTTTTTCTCTTTCATTTTTCTCTTTCATTTTTCTCTTTGTTTTTCTTCTTTCTTTCTTTTTTCTTTTTTCTTTTTAACGAGTCTTTACATCGAAGGAAGTTCAGGAAGCCCAAGAAAATATTAGCAACACTTCCCTTCCTTCTGGCATTCTCGAAGGGTATTGTATCCCTTTTGAATCGCTGATAGTGATGATGATGGTGATGGTGGTTTCGATACATCCGTCTTTCCTTCAAAAACAGGACGAAGCGGAGAAAGCGTATCGCTTTGGGTCCGTTTTGCCGAAGGCACTCTTTCGGCCTCATACGCGTTTCCGCTACGAAACGTGCGGTTTCCGGTGCGCGGCGCACCTACAACATCGACTCCACACTTCTCCGTCCCTCTTCGTTCGTGCATATCGATATAACTCTCTCGCAGTGAGTAGTCGACTCTCGATCGGACCGGTCGTGAGTATGTTTTCGTGAATGTGTTCGATTATACGTCTAAATCTTCCTTGAAGAGGAATCAAAGAAAGAGAAATAGTTCTTAAAGGAAAAAAAAAAAAAAAAAAAAAAAAGAAAACGAAAAAGAAAAATTCGTCCGATGGATTTTTTTTTTTTTTTCTACGTCAAAGTGAAGGAAAACAATAGTGATCAAAGAGAAAGTGTTTGAGGAACGAAGAAAATCAATGCTATCGAATTTTATCATCTATGGAATTCTAAATGAACTCCGATAGGGGCAATCAAGAGGTCAATCGAAATTCGTGACAATTCGAGGATATCAGGAATTGATTAGGACAAAGAATTACGATAGCTAACGCATTCCAAGCGTATTCCGATCGATCGACGTCGCCACAAATGCTTGGGTATGAATCGATTGTCGGATTCGCACCGGGTATATCCTCGGAACGTCTCAATGTTCTAGATCAACGAGTCAAAGTTATGAAATATCGAAGGGGCAGTATACTACGGGGTGCTTTGAGAGAAGGTTTGCATTTTTCATTCGAGTTACTTCGCTCTTTTTTACCTCTTCTCTCTCTCTCTCTTTCTTTCTTTCTCTTTCTCTCTCTCTCTTTCTTTCTTTCTCTCTCTCTTTTTCTCTTCGGTCACTTCTTTTCTAGTCTTTCTAAAGCATTCGTAGTTCTTTGTTCTCGAAGTGGTCGATGTCTCGAAGGCATTTCCCGATGAGATGGAAGTCGATATTCGAGCTTTCTTCGACGAGTAGCTATTCTTAAAAGTAGACATAAAGAATGAGAAAGATAGAGATAGATAGATGTATCCTAATGTTGTAACGTCAAAGTTTAGACGTAGTTAATGGAAAAAATATTAAATATTATATAATAATTCGATGTTTCCTCGTTCATAAAAAGAGATATCTAATTTCTTTTTCCTCGAGGAAATAAATACTACGATTCCGGCAAATTCAAAGTGGTCGTCCTTGAAAACTATGAAGCAATAATTTCCTCCTCAGATTTTCTGCTCCTCACAATATATTTCCTATGATATTCGTGGAATAAAGATTTAGAGAAAATTATAGACATAGGATCGACTAATTTGTTCGATATTTCATTTTGTTACAGCACCCAGATCGTCGAGTGCAGGTACCAACAATTTACCACCTCTGACCTTCCATCAGGTGCACGGTGACAATATACGACTTTGTAATGGCGGGACCATCGCCAGGAGGCACGAGAGCTTCTGCAAGGGAGTCACATTTAGTGCAAGACCGGTCCGAGTCGGTGAGAAGGTGAGTCATGGTGCAATAAACATGGTCCTCGTGCGTTACGTAAGATCGAGATCGAGATCGATATCTTATTCCATTGTAGACAAAGAAAGAGTTCATTGACCTGTATTCATCAAACAACAATTAAAATGTCAAAGTTAAATGTATTAATATTTTATCAAATATTTTTTTTTTTTTCAAATTTTTACAATCACTTTAAAAAATCAATATCAAACTTCATTCTCATAGAATTAGATTCGTATAACAGAGTAAAGATGGTTAAAAATATCAAAGAAAGAAATACAATCTTAAAAGCGATCTCTCGAAGGTCACAATGATTATTTGCACTCTCGCTTCTTACACACGCATGTAACATGTGTTTCCTTGTTATCCCTCGCGGATCGTGAGAAATAGGTGACTTTCGTTCCACTCGAGAAATCGTCATTTATATTCTCCATCTATTTCGTATCTATTAAAAAGCATGCCGACCCTGAAGACACAACTATTTTACGTGGGTTTCTTGTTTAACCGTTGATCTAACCACTGCGTTTCTTGACTTATTCCAACTAATTCATCCGTTCAGAGAGTAGTAGGTATATCTACGCGTTGATTATATAAAAGACATGCATGTTACGTGGCGCCGGTATCTACTATTCTCTCTCTTTCCCTCTCTCTCTCTCTCTCTTTTTTTTTCTTTCAGTTTATACATGCGTTCTTTTCACTCTTCAAAGGAGATTGGCAGAGCGTAGGCGAGTAGGTCGAAGGTTCTACGTGCTCTCCATTGATTTCACCGAGCGTTGTCTCGCATTATGATTTTTTCCTAAAAGAATTTCCGTTGAAATTTCTTTCTAAAATTTCGAACTCAAAGAAATTCAAACGATCAACGTAATCATTCAAGTTTGTAATATTTTTTTATGTTAAATTATAATACGTTTTTAAATACACAAACAAAAAAGAATAGATTATAAAAAATTGGAAAGATGATAAGTTATTGGGCCGATAATTTATGAGAAGAATTGGCAATAAATTTTCAAGACCTTCCTCGAAAATTCCGATATCATCAAATCGGCATTTCAAAGACTTATATTTTGTAATAGCTTCCCCATGGGAATTGTTCGTTTCGTGTTAAAAAGGCAAAGAAATATTCGTATAAGTTTCATAGCTGTATTATACGAAGATGCATCTACTGTACTAATTCGTGGAATAATGAGAATCGACTCGTCGGTGGGCAAGGATACGTTTATTTTTTTCGCCGAAGCAAGTCGCGAGGCACGATAGCGCGTTAATTTCTTCGCAATTAGGTGCATCGCGGAAGCGTGGCCGTTTAAAATTCTTATCCGCGAGGGATCTCTAGCTGACTGCTACTGAATATAATAAGCGATTTCAAGCTGAACGTTAAATTGGTTAATATTAATTAATACGCGTAGGGAAACTCGAAAGAAAAAGAGAGAGGTAAAGATAGATAGATAAAAAAAAGAGAGAAAAAGAGAACCCTCGTAGGTAACGTTTTATTAATTACCGAAACGAACGTATGAGCAATGAAAGTGATAATAACGCTAAATAACGTTGCTCGCATTATTTCTAGTTTAGTGACTGACTATGATAAACTTAGCGAGAGATCGATGAGGGTTAATTAACAACAAAATTCACGCTGACTTATTTCAAAACCCTATTAGCTATCAGTCGCGATCGACTCTTTTCAATGTTAAGAAAATTCACAATAAACCAAAGTGCTTAGCATGTAATAGAGGCAAACAGGCAAATGAACTTATTACTTTATTCTGGAAAAAGAATGATAATTAAAAGATTTTAATTTTCTTATTTTTTTTTTTTTTTTTTTAGGTATGCGTGAAGTTCTTGGAAATCTCGGATAATTGGAGTGGTGTTATACGTTTCGGCTTTACCAGCAACGATCCTATCAATCTAAGAAGCGGTCTTCCAAGGTATGCTTGTCCGGACCTAACAAACAAGCCTGGCTACTGGGCCAAAGCACTAGCCGAGAGGTTCGCCGAACCGGACACAGTTCTCTTTTATTACGTCACATCCGCCGGAGATGTTCACTTCGGTGTTAATGGGGAAGAAAAGGGTCTCTTCTTTACTGGCGTCGAAACTCGTAGTCCATTGTGGGCGATCATCGACGTCTACGGCAACAGTACTGCCATCGAGTTCGTCGATCCCAATAGACAACATTTTAATAATATCAGACGAGGCGCGGAGCATAGTAACGAAGACAATGCGCAGCACAGCAGGCACTCGGCGATGGACGATGCTAGCAATGCTGGCAGGGACGTCGAGAGAATCATCGTTCCGTCCATGCAGAGCATGTCGATCCATCATGAGCCTGACGTCGAGCTGCCTGGACTCAGGTTTCAACCAGCTGGTGTCATCTTTACCCCATTGCCCTTCCACCAGTAAGTAGAAAAATACTTTACGATCTTACGATTTGACGATCGATTTTGCATTCGATCTCTATCAACGTTAAAGAGAGATCAAAGTTTCCTTCCTTTATCAAGAAAGATACGTAAAAGTTAAATGATATGTCTCACTCTCTTACTACTTTACTATACTATAATATCTCCTGTGTCCGCCGTCGAAGCGCACGCTAACCACTTCCTTGTCTTTCTTCGTTTTTTTTCCAGTACCCGCGGCAGAAACATCCGCTTCAGTAATCAACAGTGCGTGGCAACGCGCACCGACACGGAATTCTGTCACGGCTACGCCTTCACCGGACGGCCGTTGCTACTAGGTGAGCGACTGGTCGTGCAAATCCTAGCGACGGAACCGATGTACGTCGGAGCACTCGCCTTGGGTTTGACTTCATGTGATCCAGCTCGCTTGACAGCCGAAGACCTACCAGACGATAGTGATCTCTTGTTGGATCGTCCAGAATACTGGGTCGTGTCGAAGGATGTAGCTTCGAGTCCGCAGCCTGGTGACGAAATTGCCTTCACTGTCACTCACTATGGCGAGGTTCAAATGAGCAAGAACGGAGGACCACCTAATGTGGTCATGCATGTTGATCAGAGTCTCCAACTCTGGGCATTCGTGGATGTCTACGGTAGCACGCAACGTGTGAGAATGCTCGCGAGCAGGCCTACTTCTCCGCCAAGGCAACGTCAAAGCAATCCTTCACCAGCGACGATAATTCAGCAGCAGCAACAACAGCAACAACAACATTCGAATCATAGCAACGCAGCTACCGAACTTTCGAGATTCTCCGAAATGGTCCAATTCAAGCCAACCGTTGGTGGCGGCACGGTACTTGTCGTGAATCTTCCACCTCAAGGTGGTTACCCAGCACCACCACCGCCTACACCACAACCGATTTATGCGTCTGCCGCTCATAGAAACTCAGCAGCAACAGTATCTCATCTACCACCGTCTTCAGCAGCACCTGTACCTCATCCTGGATCCTCTAGACAATCCTCACCACCGCTTACCGGCACGATGACCAGCACAGGTTCCTCGACTTATGTCGATCCGGTGACTTATCAAAGTCTTGATGGTACTCTCACATCGCAAGCATCCTCTCATCTTCAACAATGGAGTGAAGGTCTTCAGCCAACCCCAGGTCAACCAAGCGAGTGTTCCATTTGCTACGAGAGGAGTATCGACAGTGTCCTATACATGTGCGGTCACATGTGCATGTGTTATCCTTGCGCCATTCAACAATGGCGCGGCAAGGGTGGCGGTCATTGTCCGCTCTGTCGTGCACCCATCAAGGATGTTATTCGTATTTATAGATCCTGAACGCCGGCATCGCGTCGATGTCGTGTTAAAGACAGGTCCAGAAACTGAAAAGGCAAGCTGCGGCTACGGACACGACGATGATATTCTCGTCTTATTGAGATCAGGGATTTGGCCACGTCGATCTTGGAAGATGATTGTCCTCTTCCGTGATCGGCATAAAACGTGGTCCTCTTTTACGTTTTTTCCTACTGCCGATAGTGCGTACTACTACTTTGATTTTATTTCCATTGCACTGGGACGAGAGAGAGAGAGAGAGAGAGAGAGAGAGAGAGAGAGAGAGAGAGAGAGAGAAAGAAAGAGAGAGAGAGAACGAGAGAGAGAGAGAGAGGAAGAAAGAGAGAGAGAGAGAAAGAAAGAGAGAGAGAGAGGAGAGCAAGAAAGACAGAGGATTAACAAGAGGGGTTCCGAAATGCAGAAAATAAAATAAAGAAGTCAATGATGCGAAAAAGAAGTCAATGATTTCAATATAATGAAAAGTATCAATTAAGATGTCAAATAGATGTGCCGCTGTCTTGTCCAATCGGCAGAAATGTGCTTCC